TTTGAAGAAAAGCTGATACATTATTGTTGCTGCTGACATATTGAAAAAGGTTTGGTTTAATTATACAGTATGCTACTTTTTAAAACAGTACCTCCATGCCCTTTCAAACCACATTTATGTGGTTGATCCTCTGCAAGGGTCAAATGAAGTTGAGGACTCCAGAAAGGCTGGTTACACATTTGGGTAATATAAAATATATTACAGGAAAATACATTGGTTAAACGCACATTTGGTAAAGGCAAAGAGTAAGCGCACATTTAAAAAATGTTCCGATTGTTCTATAGAGAGTATTTCAAGATGCGCCGGAACAGACTGGGAAAAGAGGACTGGGTTAACATTAAATGGCAGCCAGGAAAGATAACCCACACCTTCCAGAAAGATGCCACCAGTTGTGGAGCCTTTGTCATGCAGGTGATTCAATGCAACATGTTGTGTTCATTAATAATAAAGCATTTTATTTTAAAGGGAAATTCAAAAACACGTCATAACGTCATGTTATTTTACCATCTGTCCAGATGGCCAAGATGACAGTGAAGGAATTTCCGAAAATACCACAGACGTTTCACATCAACTCATCAAAACAATCTCTTCAAAATCTACGAAGAGACATGGCAGAAGAAATTCTCAAAGGATCAGGTATTAGCCAAAAATATGAAATGAATATATGGATCGCTTCCTGTAAATTGAACAGTAATACACCTGTTATTTTTTCAGTTTCAAAGGATGACTTCTGTTCCTTCTGTGGAATTGAGGACCTGCCCACAACTGCTGTTGATGCTGTTTGGGTGAGACTAAATGATGAGTTGTTTTGAAACTCCAGAAGATAATCTGAATAATACATACTATATAGACCATCTGGAGTTAGATTTCAGTAATAACATAAAAGTAATGACATTTTGTATATTTTTATGCATGACAGGTTTCCTTTTGTTTTTCTTATAATTTGTTAAAGTTTTAGCACAGTACAGATAAACCTGAATAACAACAAGTATTTATATAAAAAAAAAAAGTATAATCTCTATAAAATATAAATGAATATGCCTGCTTTACAAATGTCCTACACTTGACATTTTCTTAATATCTTTGTTGTATTTATCCCCATGTAGATTCAGTGTGAAACTTGTGGAAGATGGTTTCACACGCAGTGCCTCGGAATGACTGCTGCACTAATACCAACAAAAGATACCCTGTGGTATTGTGTGTTGTGTATCATCCCTAACTAAAGAGGCTATGTAAGAGTTTGTGTAACTTTTACCAGAGGTACCAGGATTTGGGGAGGTAAGGCTTGTTAGAACTACTACCACAATAGAACTAGTGCACTTATAAACGGCATGTGGGGGAAAATCCAGCCCAGCCAGTGATTTGAAATCGGCAAAATGAAAGCTGAATTTTGTACAAAACAAACAAAAATCCAGAAAAAAGCTTTGCTAAAGATTTTGGGCAACTGAAGTAATGATTAATAATCACCTGTCCATAGTTTTAAATTATTATAAAACTTAATTAAGATGTTAAATATATTTTCCCTTACAGATTAAATTAGTCACAGATGTTCATGATGTTTTCCATGTCAGACATTACATTGTAGATTTGTTCATTAATATTGTACAGTAAGATAGGTGAAAAGCCTGAAATGTTTTATTTTTCAATTTTAACTTTATTTTACTGTTTCATAGCTAATGAAAAAGTTGTTTAATGTCTTAATGTATATATATATAACATACTGTATATACAATGTGTAACATATATATGTATATATCAATGTGTGTGATGTCTAGTTTATTGATGATTAAAAGACTGTTCTACTTTTGATGGATCTTGCTTTGATGTAGGTGATACCATGTCTATATTCAGTCTGTTAGTTAATTAATGAAAGAACAATAAAACAGTGTTATGGTTTATGAATAAATAGGAGATCTTCTTTTGAGTTAAATTTCAATCGCTTCTGGTTAAAATTAAGGGGTCTCCTGTTTGACAGTAACTTATACTTACCAATACACTTTATTTTAAAATAACATAACGATCATTAAAATAAGTTTTCAAATACACTTTTGTAGTGTAGCAAGTTAGAGGACCATTAATGTCTGAGGTGAGTTTGGTAGCACTCCACTGTATAATAGTGAAGATATTGAAGATTATATTATATTTATTGAAGATTTTACATTATAAATATTCACCAAAATTATTTAAAACCATATTCTTCCAAATTCTCTGCTGTAGTATGACCACCAGCTGGGGAACTCAGGAGACCGGGCTTGAGGGCGAAGACCGCGGCACTCCGGGAGCCGGGCTCGAAGGTCAAGACGGGACAGCTCCGGTGGACGAGCAGAAAGGCGCCGACGGGACAGCTCCGGAGGCCGGGCAGGAAAGCGCAGACGGGACAGCTCCGGAGGCCGGGCAGGAAGGCGTCGATAGGACAGCTCCGGAGGCCGGGCAGGAAGGCGTCGACAGGACAGCTCCGGAGGCCGGGCAGGAAGGCGTCGACAGGACAGCTCCGGAGGCCGGGCAGGAAGGCGTCGACAGGACAGCTCCGGAGGCCGGGCAGGAAGGCGTCGACAGGACAGCTCCGGAGGCCGGGCAGGAAGGCGTCGACAGGACAGCTCCGGAGGCCGGGCAGGAAGGCGTCGACAGGACAGCTCCGGAGGCCGGGCAGGAAGGCGCCGACAGGACAGCTCCGGAGGCCGGGCAGGAAGGCGTCGACAGGACAGCTCCGGAGGACGGGCAGGACCCAGTATCGACCGGACAGGAACCGGAGCCGACCGGACAGGCGCAGACGGGACCCCGAACAAGACATGGGCTTGTGTCAATGGGACCCCGGATGTAGCAAGGGCTGGTGTCGACTGGACCCCCAACGGAACAGGACACAGAGTTGGTAGGACCCCCGGCGGGACCGGTGTCGGCGGGACCCCCAACAGAACCGGACACAGAGCTGGCAGAACCCCCGGCGAGACAGGTGTCGGTGGGACCCCCAACAGGACAGGATCTGGTGTTGGCAGGAAACCCGGCGGAGCAGTAGTCGGCGGGACCCCCAACGAGACAGGACATGGGGTTGGCAGGACCCACAGCGGAACAGGTGTCGGCAGGACCCCCAACGATACTGGACGTGGAGTTGGCAGGACCCTCAGCGGAACCCCCAACGGCACAGGACATAGGATTGGCAAGACCCCCGGCAGAAGAGTAGTCGGCAGGACCCCCAATGGGAAAGGACATGGAGTTTGCAAGACCCCCGGCAGGAGAGTTGTTGGCGGGACCCCCAACGGGACAGGTGTCGGTGGGACCCCCAACAGGACAGGATCTGGTGTTGGCAGGAAACCCGGCAGAAGAGTAGTCGGCGGGACCCCCAATGGGACAGGACACGGAGTTGGCAAGACCCCTGGCAGGAGAGTAGTCAGCGGGACCTCCAACAGCACTGGACATAGGGTTGGCAGGACCCCCGGCAGAAGAGTAGTCGGCGGGACCCCCAACGGGACAGGACATAGGATTGGCAAGACCCCCGGCAGAAGAGTAGTCAGCGGGACCTCCAACGGCACAGGACATAGGGTTGGCAGGACCCCCGGCAGAAGAGTAGTCGGCGGGACCCCCAATGGGACAGGACATGGAGTTGGCAAGACCCCCGGCAGAAGAGTAGTCAGCGGGACCTCCAACGGCACAGGACATAGGGTTGGCAGGACCCCCGGCAGAAGAGTAGTCGGCGGGACCCCCAATGGGACAGGACATGGAGTTGGCAAGACCCCCGGCAGGAAAGTAGTCGGCGGGACCTCCAACGGGACAGGACATAGGATTGGCAGGACCCCCGGCAGAAGAGTAGTCGGCGGGACCCCCAATGGGACAGGACATATGATTGGCAGGACCCCCGGCAGAAGAGCAGTCGGCAGGACCCCCAACGATACTGGACGTGGAGTTGGCAGGACCCTCAGCGGAACCCCCAACGGCACAGGACATATGATTGGCAGGACCCCCGGCAGAAGAGCAGTCGGCGGGACCCCCAATGGGACAGGACATAGAGTTGGCAAGACCCCCGGCAGACCCCTGGCAGCAAGGTTTGACATGTGTAGAGCCAAGGACTGATTGATTTCAGCTAAGGCTCGCATCATCTGCTCATGTTGGCCCAGAAGATTTTCCTGACGAAAAATGGCGTGCTGGACCGGAACAGAGGCCGGAACCATGGCTGCTGGGGCCAGAACTGGGGCTGGAACCATGGCTGCTGGGGCCAGAACTGGGGCTGGAACCATGGCTGCGTGGGCCGGTTCTGGAGCCGGAACCATGGCTGCTGGGGCCTGTACTGGAGCCCAAAGCAAGGCTTCTGGGGCTCGGGCTGCTAGCCTGGACTCGCGACTCCTTCTCTTAGGAGACTTTTGGAGGCTCCGTGGACCTCCAAAAGCCAGACGAGTACCCGAGAACGGCTCCTGGACAGGAGCAGGAAATGGGGAAGAAGCAGGGGTTGACTCCAGACGGAACACACCGAGATGTATGGTGTCAGGTTGGGAGTTGGGAGGCAGGGGGCTAGCATGCCTGGGGCTAGCAGGCCGGGAATCACACATCAAAAGGAAATCCAAAATCCAGTCAGGTAAGAACTTAACCAAAGATGGATCCACTGTTGCCACCTGGTGAGCCTCTGCCAGAGCAGCCTCTCTCTGCTGAACACTGGACGCTCCCCTCCACCTACCATAGCAGCAAGCCAAAGAAAAAGTAAAATGTTGTAAATCCACCTCAAATGGATCTGCTGGGCCCATTTCTGGTTGGTTCATTCTGTCACGGTTGAGTGCAGCAGGCAGGACCCAAATGCAGATTTCCAAGAATAATTCCTTTAATCCGGTACAAAGTAGAACACAGAACACTACCATGTGACACACAGTCAAATACAAACAATGAACCAACAATGACAGACAGAAAAACCAGAACTAAAATACACACAAGACCAATCACACAAACAAGACACAGGTGAGGAGGGAGGAGAAAACACAGGGGCACCAGGTGAACACAATCGGGCAATCAGGCAGGAGGGAACACAGACACAGGAAGCAACAGGCAAGACGGGCTTTTATTATTAGGGACACCTGGAATTGACAAATAAAAAGCATACAGTACACAGCTGCTTTAAAAACCTCCAGTCAAGAAGGATAGGTGAGTTTACGACTACATTTTTAAATTGCTAATCGTTAAGATCACCGTATGTCTCTGGAGTTAGCACGCAGGCTGATATGACTGAAATGGAAGATGGCACTCTGTCCTTATGAAGCCTGCTCACATGGATTTTACCGTGAGAATAAAAGAGTTCTTGTAGGTTCTCTCTTGGAGGACAGACGGCTGCCTGATTGGAGTAAGACAAGAGAAGACAATATGGACCTTTATTGATCTCTGTAGGGACATTCAGACGTTACAGCAGAACAGAATAAGAGTCCTTACAGTTCAAGTTCTGTTATTTCTTTACTTAATCAGGCCTGTGCTGCACATTTTGAGAGCATCGTATTGCAACTGTTTAATCAACCATTACCTCTCTTTTCTGATCCAGTCAAAATGAGTCACTGAAGCCTTGTGATCAGGTTGTTCCCAATTAGCAACGAGACGTGATCCGAGGCACCGTTAATGTGAGGAGAAGTCCTGATTAATGAACTGATCGTGAGAAATGATTCATTTAAAACAGCTTGTCTTTAGATATTTAGAGTCAAAATCATAGACTATATATATACAAAACTACTTCCACTTCACATGGGGAAACAGTTACAATGAGAACATGTGATTTATTGGCTCAAATGTCACGTTCAGTTTATTGAATTTGCTGTATTGTATGTTGACAGATGGGTGCTGTGTTGCACTCTGTTTATCTTTCTGAAGCGTCAGAGGTGTGTCCCTTCTGGATTTCAATCAGACACCATTTGACTTCTGCTGTTTCCCAAACTGCTACACATTTACACAATGAATACAATCTGTACTACAACACTCTATAAGCACCGTGTAAAACTGCTCAATCACTAAAGAAATGGGTCTTAATGAACAGATGAATAGTTGTTATGTTCCCCTCAGATAACCTCTCTCTGCTGGTCCTTTATTGTGATATTTGACACGGTGTATTGATGTGTGACCGACCGGTCAGCGCTCAGGACTCTGTGAGCGGGCAGCTCTGTTTGCTCTGATCTTCACTTGATTACATACTGATCACCTGTTCTGCAAAATCCTCTTCTTCATGTCTCTTCTACATCAACATGTGTCCCCTCTTCTTCATGTCTCTTCTTCATCAACATGTGTCCCCTCTTCTTCATGTCTCTTCTTCATCAACATGTGTCCCCTCTTCTCCATGTCTCTTCTTCATCACCATGTGTCCCCTCTTCTTCATGTCTCTTCTACATCAACATGTGTCCCCTCTTCTCCATGTCTCCTCTACATCAACATGTGTCCCCTCTTCTTCATGTCTCTTCTACATCAACATGTGTCCCCTCTTCTTCATGTCTCTTCTTCATCAACATGTGTCCCCTCTTCTTCATGTCTCTTCTTCATCAACATGTGTCCCCTCTTCTTCATGTCTCTTCTTCATCACCATGTGTCCCCTCTTCTTCATGTCTCTTCTACATCAACATGTGTCCCCTCTTCTCCATGTCTCCTCTACATCAACATGTGTCCCCTCTTCTTCATGTCTCTTCTACATCACCATGTGTCCCCTCTTCTTCATGTCTCTTCTACATCACCATGTGTCCCCTCTTCTCCATGTCTCTTCTACATCAACATGTGTCTCCTCTTCTCCATGTCTCCTCTACATCAACATGTGTCCCCTCTTCTTCATGTCTCTTCTACATCACCATGTGTCCCCTCTTCTCCATGTCTCTTCTACATCAACATGTGTCCCCTCTTCTTCATGTCTCTTCTACATCAACATGTGTCCCCTCTTCTTCATGTCTCTTCTACATCAACATGTGTCCCCTCTTCTTCATGTCTCTTCTACATCAACATGTGTCCCCTCTTCTTCATGTCTCTTCTACATCAATATGTGTCCCCTCTTCTTCATGTCTCTTCTACATCAACATGTGTCCCCTCTTCTTCATGTCTCTTCTACATCAACATGTGTCCCCTCTTCTTCATGTCTCTTCTACATCCAACATGTGTCCCCTCTTCTTCATGTCTCTTCTACATCAACATGTGTCCCCTCTTCTCCATGTCTCTCTACATCACCATGTGTCCCCTCTTCTTCATGTCTCTTCTACATCAACATGTGTCCTCTCTTCTTCATGTCTCTTCTACATCAACATGTGTCCCCTCTTCTTCATGTCTCTTCTACATCAACATGTGTCCCCTCTTCTCCATGTCTCTTCTACATCAACATGTGTCCCCTCTTCTCCATGTCTCTTCTACATCACCATGTGTCCCCTCTTCTTCATGTCTCTTCTACATCAACATGTGTCCTCTCTTCTTCATGTCTCTTCTTCATCAACATGTGTCCCCTCTTCTTCATGTCTCTTCTACATCAACACGTGTCCCCTCTTCTACATCAACATGTGTCCCCTCTTCTTCATGTCTCTTCTTCATCAACATGTGTCCCCTCTTCTTCATGTCTCTTCTACATCAACATGTGTCCCCTCTTCTTCATGTCTCTTCTACATCACCATGTGTCCCCTCTTCTTCATGTCTCTTTCTACATCAACATGTGTCCCCTCTTCTTCATGTCTCTTCTTCATCAACATGTGTCCCCTCTTGTTCATGTCTCTTCTACATCAACATGTGTCCCCTCTTCTTCATATCTCTTCTACATCAACATGTGTCCCCTCTTCTTCATGTCTCTTCTACATCAACATGTTGTCCCCTCTTCTTCATGTCTCTTCTACATCAACATGTGTCCCCCTCTTCTTCATGTCTCTTCTACATCAACATGTGTCCCCTCTTCTCCATGTCTCTTCTAACATCAACATGTGTCCCCTCTTCTACATCAACATGTGTCCCCTCTTCTTCATGTCTCTTCTTCATCAACATGTGTCCCCTCTTCTTCATGTCTCTTCTACATCAACATGTGTCCCCTCTTCTTCATGTCTCTTCTACATCAACATGTGTCCCCTCTTCTTCATGTTCTTCTTCATCAACATGTGTCCCCTCTTCTTCCATGTCTCTTCTACATCAACATGTGTCCCCTCTTGTTCATGTCTCTTCTACATCAACATGTGTCCCCTCTTCTTCATATCCTTCTCATCACAGTGTGTCACCTCTTCATGTCTCTTCTACATCAACATGTGTCCCCTCTTCTTCATGTCTCTTCTACATCAACATGTGTCCCCTCTTCTTCATGTCTCTCTACATCAACATGTGTCCCCTCTTCTTCATGTCTCTTCTACATCAACATGTGTCCCCTCTTCTTCATTTCTCTTCTACATCAACATGTGTCCCCTCTTCTTCATGTCTCTTCTACATCAAACATGTGTCCCCTCTTCTTCATGTCCTCTTCTACATCAACATGTGTCCCCTCTTCTTCATGTCTTCTTCTACATCAACATGTGTCCCCTCTTCTTCATGTCTCTTCTACATCAACATGTGTCCCCTCTTCTTCATGTCTCTTCTACATCAACCATGTGTCCCCTCTTCTTCATGTCTCTTCTACATCAACATGTGTCCCCTCTTCTCATGTCTCTTCTACATCAACATGTGTCCCTCTTCTTCATGTCTCCTTCTACATCAACATGTGCCTCCCCTCTTCCTTCATGTCTCTTCTACATCAACATGTGTCCCCTCTTCTTCATGTCTCTTCTACATCAACATGTGTCCCCTCTCTTCTTCATGTCTCTTCTACATCAACATGGTGTCCCCTCTTCTTCATGTCTCTTCTACATCAACATGTGTCCCCATCTTCTTCATGTCTCTTCTACATCAACATGTGTCCCCCTCTTCTTCATGTCTCTTCTACATCAACATGTGTCCCCTCTTCTTCATGGTCTCTTCTACATCAACATGTGTCCCCTCTTCTTCATGTCTCTTCTACATCAACATGGTCCCCTCTTCTTCATGTCTCTTCTACATCAACATGTGTCCCCTCTTCTTCATGTCTCTTCTACATCAACATGTGTCCCCTCTTCTTCATGTCTCTTCTACATCAACATGTGTCCCCTCTTCTTCATGTCTCTTCTACATCAACATGTGTCCCCTCTTCTTCATGTCTCTTCTACATCAACATGTGTCCCCTCTTCTTCATGTCTCTTCTACATCAACATGTGTCCCCTCTTCTTCATGTCTCTTCTACATCAACATGTGTCCCCTCTTCTTCATGTCTCTTCTACATCAACATGTGTCCCCTCTTCTTCATGTCTCTTCTACATCAACATGTGTCCCCTCTTCTTCATTTCTCTTCTACATCAACATGTGTCCCCTCTTCTCTCACATGTCCTCTTCTATCATGCTCCTCTTCTTTCATCACATGAACATGTGTTCCCCTCTTCTTCATGTCTCTTCTACATCAACATGTGTCCCCTCTTCTTCATGTCTCTTCTACATCAACATGTGTCCCCCTCTTCTTCATGTTCTCTTCTACATCAACATGTGTCCCCTCTTCTTCATATCTCTTCTACATCAACATGTGTCCCCTCTTCTTCATATCTCTTCTACATCAACATGTGTCCCCTCTTCTTCATGGTCTCTTCTACATCAACATGTGTCCCCTCTTCTTCATGTCTCTTCTACATCAACATGTGTCCCCTCTTCTTCATGTCTCTTCTTACATCAACATGTTGTCCCCTCTTCTTCAGTCTCTTCTACATCAACATGTGTCCCCTCTTCTTCATGTCTCTTCTACATCAACATGTGTCCCCTCTTCTTCATGTCTCTTTCTACATCAACATGTGTCCCCTCTTCTTCATGTCTCTTCTACATCAACATGTGTCCCCCTTCTTCATGTCTCTTCTACATCAACATGTGTCCCCTCTTCTTCATGTCTCTTCTACATCAACATGTTGTCCCCTCTTCTTCATGTCTCTTCTACATCAACATGTGTCCCCTCTTCTTCATGTCTCTTCTACATCAACATGTGTCCCCTCTTCTACATCAACATGTGTCCCCTCTTCTACATCAACATGTGTCCCCTCTTCTTCATGTCTCTTCTACATCAACATGTGTCCCCTCTTGTTCATGTCTCTTCTACATCAACATGTGTCCCCTCTTCTTCATATCTCTTCTACATCAACATGTGTCCCCTCTTCTTCATGTCTCTTCTACATCAACATGTGTCCCCTCTTCTTCATGTCTCTTCTACATCAACATGTGTCCCCTCTTCTTCATGTCTCTTCTACATCAACATGTGTCCCCTCTTCTTCATGTCTCTTCTACATCAACATGTGGTCCCCTCTTCTTCATGTCTCTTCTACATCAACATGTGTCCCTCTTCTTCATGTCTCTTCTACATCAACATAGTGTCCCCTCTTCTTCATATCTCTTCTACATCAACATGTGTCCCCTCTTCTTCATGTCTCTTCTACATCAACATGTGTCCCCTCTTCTTCATGTCTCTTCTACATCAACATGTGTCCCCTCTTCTTCATGTCTCTTCTACATCAACATGTGTCCCCTCTTCTTCATATCTCTTCTACATCAACATGTGTCCCCTCTTCTTCATGTCTCTTCTACATCAACATGTGTCCCCTCTTCTTCATGTCTCTTCTACATCAACATGTGTCCCCTCTTCTTCATGTCTCTTCTACATCAACATGTGTCCCCTCTTCTTCATGTCTCTTCTACATCAACATGTGTCCCTTCTTCTTCATGTCTCTTCTACATCAACATGTCTCCCCTCTTCTTCATATCTCTTCTACATCAACATGTGTCCCCTCTTCTTCATGTCTCTTCTACATCAACATGTGTCCCCTCTTCTTCATGTCTCTTCTACATCAACATGTGTCCCCTCTTCTTCATGTCTCTTCTACATCAACATGTGTCCCCTCTTCTCCATGTCTCTTCTACATCAACATGTGTCCCCTCTTCTACATCAACATGTGTCCCCTCTTCTTCATGTCTCTTCTTCATCAACATGTGTCCCCTCTTCTTCATGTCTCTTCTACATCAACATGTGTCCCCTCTTCTTCATGTCTCTTCTACATCAACATGTGTCCCCTCTTTTCATGTTCTCTTCATCAACATGTGTCCCCTCTTGTTCATGTCTCTTCTACATCAACATGTGTCCCCTCTTCTTCATATCTCTTCTACATCAACATGTGTCCCCTCTTCTTCATGTCTCTTCTACATCAACATGTGTCCCCTCTTCTTCATGTCTCTTCTACATCAACATGTGTCCCCTCTTCTTCATGTCTCTTCTACATCAACATGTGTCCCCTCTTCTTCATGTCTCTTCTACATCAACATGTGTCCCCTCTCTTCATGTCTCTTCTACATCAACATGTGTCCCCTCTTCTTCATGTCTCTTCTACATCAACATGTGTCCCCTCTTCTTCATGTCTCTTCTACATCAACATGTGTCCCCTCTTCTTCATATCTCTTCTACATCAACATGTGTCCCCTCTTCTTCATGTCTCTTCTACATCAACATGTGTCCCCTCTTCTTCATGTCTCTTCTACATCAACATGTGTCCCCTCTTCTTCATGTCTCTCTACATCAACATGTGTCCCCTCTCTCATTCTACATCAACATGTGTCCCCTCTTCTTCATGTCTCTTCTACATCAACATGTGTCCCCTCTTCTTCATGTCTCTTCTTCATCAACATGTGTCCCCTTTTCTTCATGTCTCTTCTACATCAACATGTGTCCCCTCTTCTTCATGTCTCTTCTACATCAACATGTGTCCCCTCTTCTTCATGTCTCTTCTTCATCAACATGTGTCCCCTCTTCTTCATGTCTCTTCTACATCAACATGTGTCCCCTCTTCTTCATGTCTCTTCTTCATCAACATGTGTCCCCTCTTCTTCATGTCTCTTCTACATCAACATGTGTCCCCTCTTCTCCATGTCTCTTCTACATCAACATGTGTCCCCTCTTCTACATCAACATGTGTCCCCTCTTCTTCATGTCTCTTCTTCATCAACATGTGTCCCCTCTTCTTCATGTCTCTTCTACATCAACATGTGTCCCCTCTTCTTCATGTCTCTTCTACATCAACATGTGTCCCCTCCTCTTCATGTCTCTTCTACATCAACATGTGTCCCCTCTTCTTCATGTCTCTTCTACATCAACATGTGTCCCCTCCTCTTCATGTCTCTTCTACATCAACATGTGTCCCCTCTGTGTAAAGAGTTTCAGGAACAAAGATTCTCTCTCTTTTTGATCCATTTATATAAAAACCTGTCTGAAAATGAGCTGATCAGATTTTGGCCACTTGATGATGTCATAACGATGTTTTGTCTTGTGTAACCATTAGCCAATCAGCAACCATGGTAACCCCCCCCCCCCCTTATCACCTGAATCTCCTCCTAGAGCACCATTGAGTTCTTTGTAACCAAATCTCTCTCAGAGGGGCGTGGGGAGGGGCTCCTTATTTTCATCTAAAGTAACAGACAGAGAATCAGCACTTTGGAAACAGGGCTGAAACAGAGGGGATTATGGGTAATGCTGCAATGATCTGTTTGCTGTTTCAGCCAATCAGAGACAGGCTCTGTATATATCTGAGACCTGTCATGTATTGATGAAGAACAGTAGCTGACAGGAGCTTTATCATCATTAGCACTATTAGCATTAGCAGCTACTGTGTAGATATGACCAGAGGAGGGAAGTAGCGAGTACAAATACTTAGTTACTGCACCTAAGTACATGTTTCTGGTGTCAGTACTTTACTCCACGACTTATTGTTCTGACAGCTTTTAACTTTGACTTGTTCCATGTTTCAGGAGACCACCTGTCCCTCAGCTGTGACGTCTCTAAAGAACAGGAAGTGCAGAGGAGCTTCGAGACAATCCAGAAAACCTGCGGCAGCGTCTCGTACCTGGTGAACGGCGCCGGCATCAACAGGTGAGAACACCTGAGCTGCTGATGCATCATGGGGGATTCAGACACACATCTCTGCACTATAATTACACTATAAAAAATATTATTATTATTATAAATACAACTTTATGTCAACAGTTTAATATATATGGTTTACGAATATGAGGTGAAAAGTGTGTGTGTGTGTGTGTGTGTGTGTGTGTGTGTGTGTGTGTGTGTGTGTGTGTGTGTGTGTGTGTGTGTGTGTGTGTGTGTGTGTGTGTGTGTGTGTGTGTGTGTGTGTGTGTGTGTGTGTGTGTGTGTGTGTGTGTGTGTGTGTGTGTGTGTGTGTGTGATGTGTGTGTGTGTGTGTGTGTGTGTGTGTGTGTGTGTGTGTGTGTGTGTGTGTGTGTGTGTGTGTGTGTGTGTGTGTGTGTGTGTGTGTGTGTGTGTGTGTGTGTGTGTGTGTGTGTGTGTGTGTGTGTGTGTGTGTGTGTGTGTGTGTGTGTGTGCACAGGGACTCCCTCCTCCTGAGGACCCCCCCTCACCTCATGGTCTCTATGCTCCACACTAACCTGCTGGGCTCCATGCTGACCTGCAGGGCGGCGCTGCGCAGCTTGCTGCGGCCACCAGGCGGCGCCATCGTCAACATCGGTGAGGAAATACAGCTGTGGTTCTTATTCTGGACACTAGGGGGCAGCGTGCATCACTTTAGGATTTAGAGGCCATTACATTAAACATTTAATTTATTTTAACCCTAAAAATAAACAAGGAACTGGAACATTATAAATGTTGTTTCTTTTTAACCCTTTTTTACACATTAATATTCACATAGACAAGTTTTATACGATGTTTCATCTTCACGCTCTGCTGTATATTCTCTACTTTTTAAAGCTGTTTTAATTCTATTATTGTTTATCTCTACTCTTTCATTTCTACTCATGTGCAATGCAGCTCCCAATTTGGGATCAATAAAGTACCTCTAATCTTTTAAGTGCAGTAAACACATGAAGCTTGCTGCCAGAGCTTATTTACAACCTTCCCGTTTGTTGTTGTTGTTGTTGTTGTCCCAGGCTCTGTGGTGGGTCTGAAGGGGAACGCGGGTCAGAGCGTCTACAGCGCCTCGAAGTCCGGTCTGCAGGGCTTCACTCGCTCTCTGGCTAAAGAAGTGGCTTCAAGAAGCGTCAGAGTCAACCTGCTGCTTCCAGGTACACAACAACAACACAACAACAACAACATTGCATTACATCTAGGTGACGCTTTTATCCAAAGAAACTCACAATAAGTGCAAAAACCATAAATAACCAAACTCTGAACAACAAGGGAGGAAATATTCACTTCAAGCGAGTCATACCGTAATCAGTGAGTTGTTACAAGGCCTGTATTTAATCAATCAATCAATCAATCAATCAATGTTTATTTATATAGCCCAATATCACAAGTATTACATTTGTCTCAGTGGACTTCACAGTTTGTACAGAATATCAGTATGACAATACGACACCCTCTGTCCTTAGACCCTCTGTCCTTAGACCCTCTGTCCTTAGACCCTCTGTCCTGAGACCCTCTGTCCTGAGACCCTCTGTCCTTAGACCCTCTGTCCTTAGACCCTCTGTCCTTAGACCCTCTGTCCTTAGACCCTCTGTCCTGAGACCCTCTGTCCTTAGACCCTCTGTCCTTAGACCCTCTGTCCTGAGACCCTCTGTCCTTAGACCCTCTGTCCTTAGACCCTCTGTCCTGAGACCCTCTGTCCTTAGACCCTCTGTCCTTAGACCCTCTGTCCTTAGACCCTCACATCGTACAAGGAAACACTTCCAGAGAAACCCCACAGTTTAAAGGAACATGGGAGAAACCTCAGGGAGAGCAACAGAGGAGGGATCCCTCTCCCAGGACGGACAGACGTGCAATAGATGCCGTGTGTAAATTGAAAAGATAATACATTTTACAGCATAGGTAGACCAAATGTTTGGAAATGCATGTGTCTATAATAAGAAGATGAATCCACGAGGATATCCATCCAGGACTCAGGATCCAGGGCTCGCGCTCCAGGAAGCTGGGTTGTTGGGAGCATGAGAGTACACAGGTACAGACAGAGAGAAGGAAGAAGTAAGGCTTTTCAGAACTCTGGTTAGCACACGTGCTGCAGCATTTTGAATCAGCTGAAGCGACTTAACTGACTTCTTGGTACACCCTTTTATAACATAAAAACAATAAAAGGACATCATACATTATATTTACACGCTACAATTACATAGTTATCAACATTTACAAGTACCCATAGTATCACAGTGCATTCATATAGACCAGATCACCATAGTCCAGCACAGGTCAAAAGGTCACAGAGCCTTTTCCTGGCTTCAAGTGAGAAACAGGACTTGTTTCTGAAAAAGAAACCTAGCTTCACCCTCAGCTTTCTAAGCAGATTATTGACCTGAAGTTTAAAAGAGAGACAATCATCAAGCCAGATACCAAGGTATTTGTAACAGGCAACCACTTCAAGTTTTATTCCTTGCGCAGTTACAATATCCAAAACAGGCTCCGGTGTCTTTTTAGCTTTTGAAAAAAGCATTACCTTGGTTTTATCAACATTTAAAAGAAGCTTTAGTTCAGAGAGCTGAGTCTGAATAATGTTAAAAACAGCCTGTAATTTAACACCAGCCTCCTTAATGGAGGGACCTGCACAGTACATCACGGTATCATCCACATACAAATGTAAAGTAGCTTCATCCACATTTTCACCTAAACTATTGATGTAGATGGAGAATAAAAGTGGACCTAAAACAGAACCTTGAGGAACACCATTAGCAATGTTCAACCACTCAGAAGACAGCCCATCAAAGTGAACACATTGGGACCTTTCAGAGAGGTAGTTCACAAACCACCCCACTGCATGGCTGGATATGCCAATACTGAGTAGCCTCTGCTTTAAGATGCGATGATCGACGGTGTCAAACACTTTGGAAAGGTCAATAAATAGAGCTGCACAACTCTGCTTATTATCTAAAATACTTGTAATGTCATTCACCACTTTCATTGTGGCAGTGATGGTGCTATGTTGCTTTCTGAAGCCGGACTGATGTTTAGACAGGATGTCATGTTTACATAAAAACTCCTTTACCTGTTCACTCACTAGGCGTTCAAGAACCTTAGCCAGAACTGACAATTTAGAGATTGGCCTATAATTATTTAAAATAGTTGCCTCCCCACCTTTTAGCAAAGGCAGGACATACGCTGACTTCCATACTTTTGGAATTGCATTTGTGCTGAGGGAGAGGTTAAAAAGAGAAGTGAGAGGTGGAGCAATAAAATCTGCCGGTTTCTTAGGATCTAACTTGGTTAAAGCTTCATGAACAACATTTACAGTAAAAGGAGTAAAACTGAAAGGGTTTTCCAGACCACATTGTTCAGAGTCACAGACTGTGGTGTTCACAGAAGCAGAGTTAGTCACAGAATCAAACATAGAGCCACAGGACACAACATGCTTATTAAAGCAATGTAACATGGTGGCCCTGTCCGATATAGAGCCAGATGCTGTGGTAATGCACGGAGGTAGCTCATAACGGATCTCACCGGTGGATATCGATTTTATGGCTTTCCAAAATGTTCTAGGATTATTTAGGTTTTCTGTGGTAACTGACAGATAATACTCCGACTTAGCACTTTTGACATGTGAAGTGAAGCTATTCCTTAGCTGCCTAAAACGCAGCCATTCTACCTCTGAGCCTGATTTCCTAGCCTTTGCCCAGGCCTTGTTTCTCTCATGCAGGAGACTGGACAGTTCAGCAGAAAACCAAGGATTGTCTCGTCTCTTTACTCTAAATGTATGCAGGGGTGCATGTCTATCAATGATCTCCATAAAACCAAGATAAAAATAAGACCATGCAGTTTCTACATCAGCACACAGATCGATTTTTCCCCAATCAAACCCAAACAGATCATGAACAAAACCCTGCTCCACAAAATGTTGAGTGTCTCTCTTTATGATAATACGAGGTTCAACCTTTTGGACCTTAGTGTCCCTAATTGTGGCTACAGCACAGTGGTCACTCACATCATTAGCAAATACTCCCACAGATGAGTATTTATAGGGAACATTAGTTAGAATGAGATCAATTAGGGAGGATTTATTAGGGGACTTAATGTTAGGGCGAGTAGGACTGTCAACAATCTGAGTAACATTCAGAGAGATACAAAGGTTTTTAAAATCCTCTGATACTGCAGTTAACCAGTCCCAGTTCAAATCACCAAGTAGCACTATTTCCTTATAGTCAAGTTGAGATAAAAGATTTGCTAGCGAAGACAAGGAGTCCTTGACAGCTGAGGGGGGTCTGTAACAGCCCACCACCATGACCTGTTGACCCTTCTGTGGCACAGACTCCAGGTGTTAACCCCACCGCCGGGCCTCATGAAACAACTGCAGCGGCTCCTCGTGGATTTCTTCTGGTCGGGTCATCACTGGGTGCCAGCATCGGTCCTGTACCCACCTGTGGCGGAGGGGGGCAGGGCCTTGTGGACATTACTGCGAGGACTGCTGCTTTTAGACTGCAGGCAGCGCAGAGGCTGCTGTATGGTGCCTCTCCCTGCTGGCTGGCTATGGCCCGGCTGTTGCTCTGGAGGGCAGGGGGCTTTGGTTTGGATAAACACCTGTTTCTGCTGAAGGCCCCTGCGTACAAGATAACTGGACTCACACCTTTTTACTGCTCAGTCATCAATGCCTGGAAGATTTTTACCAGACCACCCGACCCCCGGCCTGGGATGTGGCTGTTTGAGGAGCCACTGTTTGACACTGGTTTTCTTTCTGGAACCATTTTCTCTTCGGCCACCCTAAAGAACGCGTTCATCGAAGCGGGAGTGGTAAAACTTGGCCATTTGACAGGGGTCTCCACAGAAACACCGGCTGAGGTGACGGGCATTCGATCAACCCGAGTTCTGGAGAACTTGGTAGATGAGGTGTGGCAGTCGCTGTCGCCATCCCACCGGACTTTTGCTCTGGATGCAGATCTGGCTGACCAGTGGAGAAAGGGACATGAGTATGTCTTTCCTGCCCTGAGTGTGGGTCCTGGGGTGGGGGAATGGAGAGAGGAGGATGGTCTCCTGCTATCTCTGGGGACTCTAACACCTGGAACGTTCAGCTCCTGCAATGGGAAGCAGCTATATCGTAGCTGCGTAAAGGTGCTAAACCTCAGCTCGCTCGCAGGCGTCAGAGAGTCGAGGTGGACAGATGTGTTTGGCTTGGGCTTTTCCCCTCAGGGCAGCTGGAGGATCCTGTATAAATCTCCGGTTGAGAAACGGATGGCTGACATCCAATGGAGAATCATACATGGAGCAATAGCCACTAACAAATACAGAGCTCATTTTGACCCGGGCACAAGGGGGCGCTGTCCGTTCTGTTTTATGGCAGAAACATTGGAACATTTAGTGGTGTCCTGTCCCAGATTAGCTGGTCTAAAAATTTTTTTACAGGAGTGGGTGAAAGGGTTGGGGGAGGTTTTCTCCATACCACTTTGTGTCCATGGCCCCAAATACACCCTGAAAAAGAGGGAAACTTTAGTACTGATACATTTCTTGTTTGCTAATGCAAAATGAGCGATCTGGAAAAGTAGAAAGAACCAAGTTGCTGGAGTGGGATGGACGGATGCAGTGCTCTGTCTGAGGGGGCTGGTGGCAGCGCGTCTGAGGGTGGAGCATGCTACACACTGATCAACCATCTGCAGGGGGTTCTGGATGTGTGGGCTGTTGGGCAGGTGCTGTGCTCACTGGGGGAGAAGGAGTCTCTAATATTGAAGTTTTAAAGGATAGATGTAGTCTTTGTTTTTAAAGTGTGTAAAGGAGGATGTTTTTAAATGATATTTATTTGGAAGTCATGAAAATCTGTTTATTTATTTGATTTTGTAATGTATTAGGTTTTTTCCGACTCTTTTGCAGGGTGGGTGTATAGTTCAAACAAATGCAAATACAATTTGTTTTAAAAATCTTATCTAACCTCAACTCACATTATCTCATCTTACCTTATCTCATCTTACCTTATCTCATCTTAACTTACCTTACCTCATCTTACCTTACCTTATCTCATCTTACCTTATCTTACCTTATCTCATCTTACCTTACCTAACCTTACCTTATCTTACCTTACCTTATCTCATCTTAACTTACCTTACCTTACCTTACCTCACCTTACCTCATGAACCCCCTCGTCCTGCAGGTTTTATCCGGACCAACATGACGGAGGGTCTTGAGGATTCGGAGCGTCTGATCCCTCTCCGGAGGTTTGGGACCGGACAGGAAGTGGCTCAGGCCGTCCTCTTCCTGCTGGAGAGTCAGTATATGACGGGGGCGGAGCTACTGGTGGACGGGGGACTGCATCTCAGCATGTAGAACACACACACAAATTAAATTCTGTGTTTGAATGCCATCTGTTGCTTCTCTCTGTTGTATATCTGATTAAAGTGAACAGTGAGAAAGAAACTGCTTATTAAAGATGCCTATAAGAAGCTTTTACAAATAAATAAACTTCTTCTTCCTGTAAAAGCAGCACAAGTGCATTATGGGAATGTAAATACTATGGTGTTGATTCTTGAATAAAACTGTATATGAACTCTTTAAACTGTTTTATTCTCCAACATTCTGTCTGACCTCACACACACACACACACACACACACACACACACACACTTCTCTAATTCCCCTCCTCGACTCCTATCCTCGTGTCTTAGTCCCGCCCACAGGAGATGCGAGCGGAGGACTCGAGGAGGGGAACCGAGGAGAGAGGAGGGGAAGCAGCAGGCGGTTAGAGAAATGAGTACTCCTCTCCTCTGAGCGGTCATTTTAAAGAGACGTCCATTAATGATGACAGGAGGCACAGCAGCCCTCTGTCTGATGGACAGATGTGTTCATGACGACTTATATATTTACTTTGATTCATTCACAGTGCAGTATAATGAGACAATAACAGGCTACAGATGCGGGGACACACACACACATATATATATATATATAGTTATATAAATGTATACAATTTCAGAATCAAACAGAGCACTCTCATAATATCGTAACACAATCAGAGACTGGATATATCGCCCCCCCCCTCTCTGGTCGCTACAATGAGGAAAATAAATTACGGGCCAAAAGTTTTATTTACAAGTATTAAAAGTAAGCAGAGGACACCAAACCAACTGAGACCTGTCTGTCCGCTGCATCTACGCACACACTGTACCACACACACCTACAGCTCCTAAAGCATAATCAGGCTACAGCCGTTGTGTTTTTATTTTGTATTTAACCTTTATTTAACCAGATAAAAACATTGAGATAAAATCTCATTTTCAATGCTGACCTGGCAAGAAGGCAGCAACGTTACACATAACACATAACACAGACATATAAAATACAGAGAACATAACTAAGAAAACAAAAGACGAAAAAGCAGTCACTACATTGTGCACATTAGGACAGTAAGAAAAGTACACTACTTGTTACTGCAAGAGCAGCTGGTGGTGAGGACTTCAGACAACTTCAATTTAAAACATGACATAGAGACAAGTGCCCTCAGTTTAAGGCGTGACTGAAGGTCATTCCAAGACCAAGGACCATAATGAAAAAGACTCCTTTTTCCAGCCTCAGTCCGCACAGCAGGAACCTGGACCCGTATCCAGGCACTGGATCTGAGGTTGTAAGAGTCGCAAACTGGGGCAAATCTGACACATATAATATGTGTATTTTATTATGTGAAGCACTAAATGGTTTTAGAAAAATATGGACTCTTTGTTTGTAGATATCTACTAAACTAAAGCAAATAAAGAGAGTAGGCCTGTTATACTGAGTGATATATATTATACACACTGCTCTGCTTTCTGCACGGACCTCACAGCTGTTCTCTCTGTAAACATCGCGTCTGATGAAAGCAGTTACTAAAATAATATCCAGGGGATGCATGCAGAGCTGTGATTGGCTGAGATAAGTCCGGCCGTGCGTCACGACTCTTTGAAACATCTCTGTTCCCGGAAATGCATCCACGAAGGAGCCGTGGAGGACCGTGGAGGACCCATCAGTGTATCCTCGGTTAGAGCTCCTCCAGAGAGCCTCCTCGACGCTCGACCCTCGGTCCTCGAAGTACATTTAGAGAAATGAGATGTCCTTCAACATGGTGCGCTGAAATTCATTTCCGGGACACTACCGGAGGACCGAGGAGTCGAGGAGGGGGAATCTCAGAAATGAGATACGGCCACAGAGGGATTAGCTCTGGTGTATTGTGGTGCAAACATAAACAACTTAAGACCAACGCAAACATGTACTTGAAAGAAAACTCAAGATAATACCAAAGGAAGGCCAATACGGGTAGCTGCTGTCAGGAGGGAGTCCAGGAGAAAAGAGAGAAGGAAAGTGGCCTTCGCTCAGAATCTGTGTTACCTTCAAGGACAAGGGGGAAATGTACAGGTAACAAAACAGAGGACTAGACTTCAACTGTCACACACACTCCACAAGGTTTTGCCTCAGCTCAAGTTGAGCTCTCTGTAAAGATACGGGTCCAGCTCACGGAGAGCGTTGATCAGAACCCTGCTGGCTGCAGCTCCTTTTTTTCGCACCACGTCCACCACCTCAAGTGCTCCGTCATTTCGGGATTTGGTTCTGGCCGACTCCATTTCAGATTCACTGATAACTCCAGACTCAAGGAGTTTATCCAGAAGGTCCTTCAGGACAGGTGGAGACACTCTTTCTTTGAACTCTGTCCGAACTGAGAACAGCCTCTGGTCTGCTGGGACTCTGCTCTCTGCTGGGACTCTGCTCTCTGCTGGGACTCTGCTCTCTGCTGGGACTCTGCTCTCTGCTGGGACGCTGCTCTCTGCTGGGACGCTGCTCTCTGCTGGGACTCTGCTCTCTGCTGGGACTCTGCTCTCTGCTGGGACTCTGCTCTCTGCTGGGACTCTGCTCTCTGCTGGGACGCTGCTCTCTGCTGGGACTCTGCTCTCTGCTGGGACGCTGCTGTCTGCTGGGACGCTGCTCTCTGCTGGGACTCTGCTCTCTGCTGGGACGCTGCTGTCTGCTGGGACGCTGCTCTCTGCTGGGACATTTCTCTGGGGTAATTTCCGCCTTGGACCTGGTAGATAAACAGGGGGAAATGGGCTCAGGGCTTAACAGGTTAACATGTATAAAATCTCCTACACCTATGTTATTCATGTTTTGTTGAGTTGTGTACGTACATTATCCCAAATGGTTCAGAGAGATGTGTAATTTTAAAGGTAACAGTACGTTCATCACGGTCTCCTATAATGGCGGCGTATCCAATTAACCATTAGAAGATGAAGACTACAACTCCCATGATGCCACGCTGTTTCACCACCACACTAGTTTTTACTATAGTTTAGGAATATTACAGGTTGTGTGTTTAATGTCGTAATGATGCGCTGCCATGGAGCCTTAATAGAGAAGGCTATGAGATGGAGCTTTAGAGTTATCCAGTCTATCACTGGGTCTGAGCTCAGGTGGAGTCTTTACCTTCCAGTGATACGGGACAATACCAGACGACTTTTCCATCTTGGTCCTTGACCTTCAACACCACTTTCTCTGTGCTCGTCGTCAGGTAAACTAGAAATGTCGGATGGTAATTTGGTCCAAACCTGGATTCAAATTGTTTACTCTGAAAACCAGAAGAAGAAGTTACAAGTTGATCTGGATCTTTCCTGATTGTGGATCCACATGCAGATACATGTGTGTAAATGATCATTGTGTTTCTTTAGAAGAGTATCAGTGACTCACCTCAGGGTGTGTGATATACACCATATCACAGTCCTCAGGTTCACAGTGCACACTGTATCTGTGATGAATGTGCAGCTCACAGTTGGAGGAGAGTCTGATGTTCACAGCACCTTCTTGTTTTTCAGCAACCTTCAGTAACAGGACATTTTGATCAATTTAAAACAACATGTTGACAGACCTGCTCTACAGAGATATAAGAATTACAATCAATTAAGAATAACAGTGTGTGGACATATTGTGTGTAGATTAATTAAAGTGTATAGGTTAGATACTTTTTGATGAAAGTCCACTCAACACATTCTCTATATATTTATTAGGGTTGTCAACATTAAAGGTAGGGTAGGTAAGTTTGAGAAACCGGCTCGAGATCGCTAGAATTTGAAAATACACAACCGGAGAAAATCTGCCACTTCCTTACAGAGCCCCTCCTCCAACACACACGAACGCGCACATGACCAATGAGGGCACGAGATAAGTTTGTGCACAGATGGAAGGCTGACAGGCAGGTAGGCCATCCAGTTATTTTAGCCGGGCCGGCTAAAATGATTGGTCGTGCTTTTTACAGTACTACAGCTTCCACAGATGATATTTTTGTATGTATTTTTTGTCAAAGCACTTAAGATATTCATTGCTATCGGGATGTTAAGAGCATTCCATGGAATATAACAAAAAGTGTATCTCGAGCCGGTTTCTCAAACTTACCTACCCCACCTTTAACGTGTCAAAACTTGCGATTAATCTGGAAACCTTGACGCGTTAAAATAATGAATGCAAATTAATCACATGACCAATTCCTGTATGCGATCACACAAGATGCCGGCTCTAATCCCTAAAAACTACCAGAGGGTTGGCTAGCCATGGCTAACATCACTATGATGTCTAATGGAAGATCAAGGACAAAACTCCCCAGTTTTAATACTTAATGTCCGGCTCTGACCTGAGGACAAGCAAAGGATGTTGTAAAGCCACAACGAACCTTAACGGCACAAAACCCACGGTTTAAGGATTTTTTGCTCCACTGATCTAAACAAATACTCCCCGTCGTCGAGACGTCTTGCCTGGTGGAAATTAGCAAATAGTTAATTCCTTTTCTTTATTCTTCTATTCTATATTTTAGCTCTCAATAACTTCAGCATACTTTCAGCTACAGAAACCAAATATCAAAAATATTCAGCCTTTTCAGCACATGATGGAAAACTTTAAATTACTTCAAAACTTTGTATACTTTTTGAAATATTCATCTTTATAAACTATTTTTTTAACATGTAACTCAATGGGAGGAACCTTCAAATCCTCTTTTAGCTACACCGTGCACCAAATGCTACTCCTTCCACATACTTTCATTCCAACTTTAAAACAGACACAAGACGTTCAGCTATTGAACTTGTATTCAGATTTTTTTATATCTTCTACAGTTTTTTACTTATCCCAGTTTAGGTTTTGGTACATTTTATAATGGTTGCCTCTTGCCCCTTTTCCACCAAAACGGTTCCGGTTCAAGATCCGTTCTTTTTCTGGTGCTTAAACTGGTTCTTCTCTTTAGTGTTTCCACCACTCAGAGCCCGACTGGTGCTGCCGCTGCTTTATCATGACATAATAAGTGAATGTGTGTCAGTCTGAATTGACGCTGTTTGGCATCACAACGCTGTTATGAAAGTTTCTCTGGTATAACATGGGTGATGTTAGCATAGCAACCGAAGCTAAACTGACTACTTGCTAAGCCGTTTTCTACAGGCACATTTTACCGGCGTATTTTTCATTATGATTCTACTTGTGATAGTCGGACATGACAACCTGTGCAGCCCATGTATTGATTCCATCCGATAGCTGCTATAATAACAAACAACA